TAAAAAAAGAGATATAGAAGCAATTAGCCTCTCTATATTCCAAAACATGTCTCAACTGGTGTCGAAAAATGGGCTTCTAAAATCCACAGAGATACTGAATATTTCTATATCTATTATTTAACTAGTGAGATGAGATGGGTAAATGAATGTTGTAAGCGGATCCATTAAAGGCTCGTCAAATCTTTTCACAATGGTATGGTTTAACCCTTTCATGCATGGTGTCCACATTTGTGGACAGTTAATTTAACTCCATTTAAGGTTCATTTATCATGGTAATTTTCTCCAAACCACTTGAGGGCAGTGTCAGTAGATTGACGGCAATATTGTAACAATGGCTACAATCTTGCATTCCAAATATTCATTGCTTGATGACATAATTAATCCAAGATGGCTGACAGTGATAGCCATGTGCTAAATGCCCCAGGCATATCTGTGAAAAACTTTTATACAAGGAGGTCAATTGAGGAAAAAAAATATTAGTATGTACAGTAAAGTATGTTGAATATGCTAGTATTTTATAAACTAAAATTTAGAGTAAAATGTCGTTTGTATTCACCAAAAACCAACTGTCCACGTATGTGGAGGTCATGCAACAGTGGAGTCAGATTGCATAAAGTCTGTAACCTGCTAGTATATCTATTCTATTTTTTCAAAGATGTTATGAATTGTCTTATATTGTAATAAAACAGACATTTAACAAATATATCAGCATAAATAACCATTTAAAATGACATATTACAGCATTAAATGGCAACTTTACACATACATATGGAGACAAATCTGCATTTTGCCTTCCAAACAGGGACAGCATAGGTCAAGGAGTCAGTACAGAATAATAGAGAATATCCCAGAGGACAGTGGAAGTGACAGTGACAGCAGTGATGAGTATGTGCCAGCAAAGAGCAGCCCTGAGACAGACAGTGATGCAGAGAGTTTTATTGTTATTATATTGTAATATTATTGTTTTTAATAACTGAGCTGATATAAATAGCATAACATGCCAATTAAAAAAACACATGTCCCATTTTACGCCTTTGTTGCATGGTGTCCACATACGTGGATGTCCAGTTAATTATTTAACTGTCCAGTTAAATAATTTTTAAATAAAAATGAATTTTGTAAAAAATGAAAATGGATTTAAATTTTAGCATCATATTAAAGTAATAAAAAGAATCATAAAAAATCTAGATAATGTTTTCCATAATTCATGCATGAAAGGGATTTACATTGCAACAATACATAACTACAATAACTTTGTCTAGTGCACTTAAGATAGTTTATAGCATGATTTGTGAAAATTTAACTATACTGAATGACATGGCATAGACTTCTTCATGGCTAGTTTTTGAGTATTTCATTTCATTCTGTAACCTACTTGTTCTAAGGATCTGTGTGTACTGGTGTTAAATGCTACTGTTTTTGACAGCGTTGATAACGTTTATGACAGATAATATCATAATAATTTTTGCGTTTCCCTTACCGAATGTCGTATCCTGTCAGCAAAAAAACCTGTCCATGGGCTTTTTGATTGCTTTCAGTTTAAGTGCTGGCGATGCAGTGTTGCCAGATATTGGTATTAAAACAAACAATAAACTAAAAATAAATAAAAATAAATAAAAATTATTTCCAATCTTTTGCAAATACGATAAGACAAAGATATCGCTGACTCTAAACTCCAACCTCCTACTTTATTAACTTTCTTAAGTGTTAAATTAAGTGGAAAAGACAAGTCCAAAAAACGCTTATAATAGCTGGATCTGGCAACACGGATGCTGCGGCCGCGCCCTCACTCACAACTCTCTCAAGCAAGTATACAGGTGCATCTCAATAAATTAGAATGTCGTGGAAAAGTTCATTTATTTCAGTAATTCTGGGGTTGGGCAAGGAGGATCATTTTGATTGCATGATTGAGAAACACCCTACAGTTTGAAAACACCCACAAATTCAGAAACGCCCACTTTTGCTCTGCAGAGACCTCAATCTCCTCTCAAGCCTCGTTGACTCCATCAGCGTCTCGCAGCGATCATTTTCATACCAGGGACGCTAGGAAAATTCCATATACATAAGAAGAAGTGGGCTCAATGTAAACCAAATTTTGCACATTTTATAAATGACTTTAAATTATATGTAAATCTCTTAGAACAAACAAAAAACAAAAAAGCACTGAAAACATGTAATGCTCTGAAAGCATTTATGTGATTTTCTTCCTTTTTTTCCTTTTCTTTTTTTTCTCTGGCAGCTAATAATGTTAATTTGATAATGTGAATATGTAATACCTCATGTTCTTGTGGCATTGAATTAATAAAGCATTCAAAAAATAATAATAATAAAATAAATACCAGGGACGCTAAGCATTCTTGCA